ACCCTGGCAGCAGCCAGGCAGGTCCTGACATTTCCAAGCATGTCCTGCTCTCTAGGATTAGAGTGCCCTAGGCTTAGGGAGCGTTCAGAAGGAAAGGCTGCATTGCAAGTCTGTTTCTCTTCGAAAGTTTGAATCTCATGTTAGAAAAGCTCGTGACTTTATTTTTATTTAAGATCAGTTCCTTCAGTTCCATGGTGAAAGCTATAGGAAGAATAATAGTAAAAGCATGGGTCCACTGATGTAACACTAAATAGGTTAGCACAGATAAGCAAAGGGTAACTTTGTTTATGTGTAAGCTATTTTCTAAAGGCCAAAGTCTGTTACATGCAAGTCCCCATGTCACATATAAAGCTTTGTGCTTCCATCAATATTGAATAAACTTGTTGGTGTGCCCAACTGTACTTTTCCAGTTTTACTGGAATGCGTATTCACATTTACCAATACTGAGGGAGTTTAAAGAACCTAAAGTGAGGCTTAAATGGTATTGAGCACTGTCTTGCGGCAATTAATTGAATCCAGATTCTAGGAAAAATACATGATAGTGGAAGCTGGGGAGAAAAGAACATTCCCTTGAAAATTATTTTTTTCTTAGGAAAAAAGGAAAATCAACACCCTCTCAGCAGGCACAGATGCTGTGGCCATTGAGCCTCTCTGAACAAGGCGAGAGTCCCTTAGTCAGCGAAGTCACTCGTTGGGCCAGCAGTTTTGGTAGTTTGGGCGATCCTCATCACCCTCCGGCTCCAAGTCCTCCATTTCCCGGAACAGAGACTCATCCACCCCAACGTGGTTTCCAGCATCCTCCAAGAACTGGACATCACAGGTCAAGGCTCTATCAGTCCCAAAGAGCTGTTTCCCGCTTAATTTATTTTTTCCTGCGTGTTCTCCTTTCATTCGGTGCTTATACATTTTCAGGAGTTTCGCAAAACTTGGAAGGCCAAGTTAAGACATTCCCAGTTGTGACAGGGATGCCGTGAAATAACTGCCTCCCAGCTTCTGCTGCATTTCCTCTTTGTTTCTCCTGGGGCATAAAGACATCCTCACCAGATTCCTCACAGGAGTGTAACTCAACTCAGTGGCTAGTGGAGGAGCACTCAGTGGACGTAAAAAGACGACAGACCGACACTGGCATGATTAAAACACTCTGCAAGGAGGAATATGTAGTAATAGGAAATGAAATAAATACAAAAATAAAGGACAAGGCCGCAGCGAAGTAAAAACAGAAGCAGTGACATTTCAGAGAGGAAAAATCAGAAAAGGTTCCAGGGAAGAACTACAATATGACACAGACCTTCAAGGATTTCAACAGATTGGGGGTCTGAGGTGGGAGGCACTGTTTCAGGCAGAGACAATTTAGGCAAGTGAGTCGGCTCCTTCATAAAAAGTTGGTAGGTATTAGAGGGAGTAGTTCGACTTTGCTGGAGAACCAGCCCTGTCTACGAAAGGCTGAAGTGCAAGGTCAGGCTGGAGAAGAGAGATGGAGGAGATACACCACCGGGCAAAGGGCAGACTCAGTAGTTTGTACCTAATTTGGCAGAGAACTACTATTAATTTTTTGTAAATAGGGTAGGGTTGTAATCTGGCCCTGCTTTAGAGAGATGGTTCTGGCAAGAACACAAGAGGGACTGAAGGGAAAGAAACTAAGCAGACCAAGTGGAAGACTATAACAGAAGCCCAGGCTACAGGTCATCCGTCCCTGACTTTGGGCAGGGGCCAGGCAGATGGAGAGGGCAGAGGGAAGGGACACTGTGTAGGAAGGAGCTATACCTGTCTAACATAGGAACCCCTGGCCATATGCGGCTGTTTAAGTCAAATTAACATTCATTAAAGTTAAGGAAGAGTTAAAATCCAGTTCCTCAGTCGTATTAGCCCCATTTCAAGTGCTCGAAAGCCACCTGCAACCTCTGTGTTGGGCGATGCGGACCTAGAACACGTCCGTCTGCAGAATGTGCTACTGGACGGTGCGGATTGCTGCGCTTTGGGGACTGACTGGGGAAGGGGATGGGACGACGGGTTACACTGCGGTCTGTCTAGTGGCTGAGAACTGAGAAAGGCAGTGCCCTGAGCCAAAAAGGGAAATCGGGAGGAGGAGGAGTTGGATTTAGGGGGAAAGATGTCCACTGTTTCAAACACCAGGCAGAATAAAGCACCTGTCCAAATGCTTGGCTGTCCCAGGTGAAAGGAGAGAGCGGGTGAAGCACAGTGGGCTCTCCCAGTGCTGGTAAAGGGGCCAGGCAGTATGTAGTTGGCTCATTCCCTCCTACACCTTGGTTCTCCCAGCTCCTGCAGCCCCCTCCACCTCTGCCAGGCCAAGCCTCACATATAAACTGGGAGGAGGGCAGGGGACCAGAGAACTCTAGCGCCGGAACCCTTTTTTCCCACAGCTACCTTCACTTCCCCTGTCCCAGCTGCCTTACTCACCCTTCCCCATGCTCCATCCTTGGAAAGTCCCCTTACTTCCACGCACTGATTGCTTCCTCTTGAACTATTCTTTCCCACAGGGACCATCGAACCATTGGCTCCGCCACTTTGAGACATGCCCTCTTCCTTCCCAGCTGAGATTCCAAGGTCTGTCCCTGTTACCACTCCCTGACATGTTCCCCTCCCCCTTTTATTGAACTTCACCAGCAAAACCCAGGGGGAAAACCACACAATCTTGCTGTGTGGTCTCGCTTTCAGTATAGGACCATGAACGCGAGAGGGCCCCCAGCATTGTCCAAACTACTACACCCCTCTAGTAACTCTTCCACTGTCCAAGGACATCCTTTCTCACCTTCTTCTATCTCCTCAAATGACCAATAGCCCAACCCCAATCACAGCTGTCACATAAAGGAAAGCACACAGTCCAGATCTAACTCATCAAACCCAGCGAGGCAGCCGGCACAGACAGTACGAAGGGGAAAAGGTGCACTGTGTGTGGGTGGGGTGGGTGGACGGGATTGCGAACAGGCACCACCACTCTTTTAGGTGGAGTGATTAGAAAAGATGCCCCTTCTCCAGGCCGATGTGGCCTCGCAGTTTGGTTGGTAGAAGAACAGGGGCTGGATTTCAGTTCCACCTGCCCCCTCCTGCTGCACAGTAGCCTAAACATGCCACCCAGTGTACTACTCGACAGACCTGCATTTGCACCCAGACTTTGCCTTCTTCCCCAAAATAGTGTGTGAACAGTGTCCTTGCTCCTATCCAAGGTCAATCCCTTCATTTCTCTGCCAGGTCCAGCTGCCTCTCCCCTAGCTGAGGACACTCTTTCTCCAGTCATGCTCTCTTATCTTTGGCCTCATCACCGTTCTACCTTAGAGAATCCTTCCGGTATACCAACATGAGGAACCTCTTCCATTTTAAAATACCCTCCCCTTGATCCCAGGCAATCCTCTGGCTAAGGCCTGGGTCTCAGTTGCTCTTTACAGAGAAGTTCCTTAAGAGCTCTTTAGAGTTGCTATAAACACTTTCTCTTCCCCGCCTCCCATTCTCTCGTTAACACACCCTAATCAGACTTTCTCCCCTTTGACCCTGTTGAAATTGCTTCTGTCCAGGACATCAGCTACCTTGACCAGGCCAAATGCAGCCTTCGAATTCTCAGATCTCTTCTTACTCATTTAATCAGTATTTGATAAGATGGATCACTCCTACCTTCCTGAAACAATTCTTATCTCCTAACATTCCACCCTCTCCAGGTGTTCATCCTATCTTCTCCTTTTCTACTAAAACCCCAAGTGCTGGCTTTCCTTTCAATCCTTCTCCCCCAGCTAATCTCCCTCCTGAAGCGATTTTATGTAAACCTAAGGCTTAACAAGCATCTTTGTGCTGATGAATCCCAAGTCTGTATCTTCAGACTTAAATCCAGTGGTTTATTCATCTCCACTTGGACATCTAACAAGCACCTTATGTAACGTGTGTGACATAACATGTGCGACACTTCCTTCACCCCACATTTTCTTAGTCTTCCCCAACTCATTAAATGGCATGTGATTAACCCGTCCGTCAAGGCCCTGAACCTAAGAATCACCCATAATCTTTTTGTTCCTTCACATACCCTGCCAAAATCATTTGTTAGAAATGTGTCTGAACTGTCCTCTTCTCAGCCCTTCCCTGCCCCCATCCTATCCCTTCCTTGCTATTGTGTATTTTACACACATTAGTAAGAGTAACTTTGAAATACATGAATCAGATGTTGTCATTCCTCCACTCACCCTCCCATGGCTTTCTGTTGTTCTTATAATAGCCCATAAGGCTCCATTAGATCTGGTCACTCCCCCACCTCTCAGCCTACTACTTGCTCTCTGGCCAGTTGACTCCTCAGCCGTGCTGGCCTTTTGTTACTCCAGCAACAAGCCAGGCGCATTCCCACCTCTGAACTTACGCTGATTTTCTTTCAGCTTGGAAAGGCTATTCTACCCTCCTTCCCTCGCCCCATGTATTGGCTAGGCTCCTACTTGCATATCACACTTGCATGTGCTCAGAGGTTTCCCCTGAGTGAAAATACCTGGTCAGCTATGAAGTCACCTCCTTCCCAGGTTTTTTTTTTTTTTCACACCACTTATCCCTACCTAGAATTTTTGTTTGTTTGCTGTCTGTCTCCTGACTCCCATCTTACTGGAAGGCAAGCTTCACGATGGCCATTGCCTGCCTATGGCTTTATCCCTTGCGCCTAGAATAGTGCCTGGCACAATAGGTGGTCAGTTGGCATTTGTCCAACGACTGCATCCCCGCCAAGATTTTACTCCTCCTGAATCTTTGGACTCTTCCTCCGTCCGTTTCCGGACTTACGCACCCCCCCACACCCCAACCTCCGCAGAGCCTCGACTCTCTACACCTCCCCCAAGGTCTTTGGCTGTCTCCACCCCTTCCTGCGCGTCCCCTTTAAGCGGACTCCGGAAAGCCGCGGGGAAGGCGGGCCGAAACCTCGCTGACGCGAACTCCGAGGGGCGGGGCGGGACTAGGGGGTGGGGCCTGCGTCCTGCGTGCGTGCGCGTTCTGGAGGCGCCGCCGCCGCCGCCGCCGCTGCCGCTGTTGAGGCCGCCGCCGTCGTCTCCGCGCAGAGCCGAAGCAGGAGCCACGGCCGAGAGGAGGGAGGAGGAGGAGGAGGAGGTGGAGGAGGCGCTGGACCGGGCGGGGTGAGTGAGGGGCGGGGAGCCGGAGCCACCCCAGAGGGAGCGGGGGGCGCGGGTCGGTCGAGCCGGGGTTGAGGCGACTCCTGTCGCCGGTCAGTCCCGTGGTTCCCCCTTCCTCCTCCGCGTTCCCTCGGTGTCCGGGGCGGCGGCCCGGGGGCCTGGCCGGCGGGAGGGGCCAGGGCTTGCGGAGGCCCGGCCGCCACCGCCAGGGCCAGAGCCAACCACGCCCGCGGAGGGAGCCGGTCGACTGTGGCTGGGCCTGCGGGAGACGGACGGGAGGGGCCCGGGCCGGGTGTGGGAGAGAAAGAGGACATTGTGTCCCCCACCCTCCAACTCCCGGAGGTGTCATGGCACAAGCCCATTTCCCTCGCCTTCTCCCCGGACGCAGTGCCCTCGTCCCTCGCAGCCTGAGAGATAGAGAAGAACGGACATCGCCGCTATTTTCCTCTCGCGTGTCCCCAGACTAGGGTCAGATCCTCCTTTAAACCCAGTTCTCCCTTTGGGGGCACTCGAAGAGGGGATGGGCGCGTTGGGTGAATTATTTGCCCTCCCGCCAGTGCTGGCGAGGTGCGGGTAGATGGAAGCGTTGCCCTGTGTTCTGTCGGTCAGGGTCCAGGGTCTCCCTTGCCTTCCTTTATCTCCCGGTGCACAGGGCTGACATCTCTACGACCCACTCCACCTCCCGGCCCCTTTCCCGCCCTCTCTTCCCCAGGTCTTCGTAGCATGCCATGTGTTCGTCTTGGCGTTGCTTTTTGGGGGTCTCTGCTTCCCTAAATTTTGATAGGGAGGAGGTCCGTCTGAATCTTATTTTCCTTCAAACTGGTACTAGTAGGGGTTGTCGTTTGCCCCCTCACTCAGGAAGTTAAGGGACAGTGTCTTAAGCTGAATTGTGTAATTTACTGCTATGGGGAGAAGGTGAGGGAGGACACTTTTGCCTAAAAAATGAGGTCTTTTCACGGGGCTGACAACCAGAGTTTAGGGGACCTTTTGACTTCTTGGGAAAAGAACTCGCGTGGAGCGGTTAGGTGTTTCTTTTTGGGAGGGAGCATCGTTTTGCCGTTGCTTTGAAGGGAGGAGAGTGTAAGAAATGAAAGGGACCAGTAAGAGGGCAGGAGGTTAATGGGCCACGGCCTTACAGGTGGCCACAGTTTTCTGCTTCCTGAGTGTGGGAGGAGGATTCTTTCTGTTTTTAATCACTGTCAGAGTCAAGCATTAGCTCTCAGTGGTGATGTGGGGCTCCTACCTTCAAAAGCACGCCGAAGGGCAGCCTCAGAAGGGGTGCTGCTGGAAACAGGATTTGGAAACTTTCTTTTGGTTTCCTGTCAGTGTGTGGGGGTGGGTGTGCATATGTGTAGTTTTTCTTTTCTTTTGATGTAATTGATATCTGCCATATTTTGACATAAAAGCACTAAATCAGGCCCCGAGCTCCTTTGTGTCTTTTTTATGATTTCCTATAACACTTTCTGTTTTGAAATTACATTTGCGTTGGTTGAAATTCCTTTTTATTCTGGTGTTTTAGTGAATCTTGTGCTTCCTCTGTACTTTGAATTCTATACTGCAAACTATAATTAGGTACAAGTTTTTGAGGATAGCACGGTGCCTGGTGCATGGTAGGCACTCAGTATTTCTTGAGTGAATTGAATGATTTACAGAATGGGCCTGGGTATTGTACATCTTCTATGCTTTTGAGCAGTACCGTACGTTTGAATGTTGCATTTCACTTCCAATATATAAAATAATAATTCTTGATCTTTTCTAGGCCACTGACATTTTTGAGAATATAATGAAATATATAGACTGCAGAAAATAAGTAATAGGCATTTATGTACAAAATTTTGCATGCAGTTACAGGGACCCTCTGAAGCCAACCATGGATACCTGTCTGAAAAGTGAACCGGAGCTCTGATTATTGCCAGTTGCATATTAAAGCTGTGCAGAAGCCTTGTTCATTTTCTGTGTGTCCTCAGGAATGGCAGTCTTTACACTTGCAGATTAAACTTTGGGTCTTTGGGAACAAGATTTAAGAGTGATTGTTATTGCCATCTTATGGGGCAAAGTTCTCTTTAATAGCTGCTACAAGTCATTAACAGTTACTGATGGCTTCCAAGGAAATCAGATTGCTATAGTTGCTTTTGGAAGCTTAAAATCATAGTCACGATGAATTTACAATTTTTATTGTACAAACTTCTGAGCAGTATGAACAGCACTTGAAAATGTTCACAAATCAGACTATTCAGTTTTCCTGTTCTCTCTTCCAATCTTGTTTATATGCATGGTATTTCATGTAGTTAATAATTATTGTATCAACATTCAGTATTAATTCAATAAATGCTTTCCAAATATCTTTGGGAATAAAACCAAGTCCTTACTGTCACAGAGTTTATGTTCTGATAAGGAGAGATGAGCCATGACCACATAAATAAAAAATATGTCAGATTTTAAGAGCTATGCAGAAGAGTCAAGTAGGGTGAGAGGACCACGCAACAGTGCAGGCAAAGATAGGCAGGGAGACGTGAGACAGAGCGGGGACCTGGAGGAAGCAAGGGGTGTGCACTTTTGGGGAAGAAGGGGGCTGGCAGAGAGAACTGCAAGTAAGTGCAAAGACGTGTACTCTGCCTTTTTTAGAACAACTAGAAGGCCAGTAAGCAAGAGGGAAAGAGAGAGAGTTGCACTTGAGGTTAGAGAAGTAGCTGGGCCTGCGCTGCAAGGCCTTGCAGGCTGGATAAGAACTTTACTGTGGATTTTACTAGAATGAGATGGGAAACCATAGAGGGTTTTGAGTCTGAAAGAGACCTGTTCTCACTTAAGTTCGTGAGAATCATTCTGGCTGTCGTGTGGAAATCCGATTGGTGGAGATGGGGGGAGGCAGGAGTAGAAGCAGGAAGACCGGTCAGGAGGATAATCATTATTTTAAATCTTTTCCAGTGGTTGCAAATTAGTCCATCTTCCTGCTGTTAGGCATATAAGTAGTTTCCTTTTCCCCTATTAAAATAACAATGAAGTGAGCATTTTTGTGTATACACCTTTTGCTTTTCTTTTGGAATATTTCCTTGGGATTGATTTCCAGAACTACTACTGAACCCAAGTATGTGAATAACAGACTTGTGTTCTTGGTGTTGTATTTATGAATTGCTCCAGAGAGTAAGTCGCACTAGTTAAAGTGATAGCCACAGTCGTTGATCTTTAGTTTCATGGCAATGTCACCCGCATTGAGTATCATTATTTAATACTTTAAAAAATAATAGGAGCCCTGGCTGGTGTAGCTCAGTGGATTGAGGGCAGGCCTGCGAACCAGATGATCATAGTTCGACCCCCAGTCAGGGCACATGCCTAGGTTGCAGGCCAGTTCCCAGCAGGGGACACTTGAGAGGCAACCACACATTGATTTTTCTCTTCCTCTCCCCTTCCCCTCTAAAAATAAATAAATTAAATAAAAAAATAAAAGTAAAAAATAATAAGAGTTATAAAAGGAGATATTATGATTGTTAGGTTTAGTTTTCCAGTGGCTCACATTTAGAGTTCACATATGTATTGTTAGCTAATCGTTGGGGATAGAGACATGAATTGAGCAGGGTCTCTGCCCTCAGAGAACTTCACATTCTATCTTAATTTATAATCTAATAGTGAAGTAACTTCAACTCTTGCAGTGTTCACTGTTTCCCATGAACTTCATTCACAAGTTGTTGATGATCTCTTACATACAGTTAACATTCCAGTCAGGCATTTAATTTTTCATAGTGATAATTTCCTATTTTCTTACAAAGAGATTTTTTAATGGTATCTGCAATTCGTTTAATTTCTGTTCGGTATGTCTTTAGAATTTTACAACTGTGGCAGCCCATGTTTGTTCTTTGCAATAAATTATGCAACTAGTACTTTGTTGAGGACTCTTCACAGTTGAGTTTTTAAATTGTTGCAATTCTTTATAGTTATTCAAAGCACAGAGACTATTGTGTCTGTTAAATGAGGTCAGCATTGCAGCTTTGAAATTTTAGTTTTTAAAGGTCTATTTTTTCTAATCGACTTTTTTTTCTTTCTTTCTTTCTTTTTTTTTTAGAGAGAGGGAGGGAAGGGGAAAGAGAGAAAGAAATGGATTTGTTGTTTCACTTACTGATGCATTCATTGGTTGACTCTTGTATGTGCCCTGACCAGGAATCAAACCTGCAACCTTGGCATATTGAGACAACGCTGTAAGCAACTGAGCTACCCTGCCAGGGCGATGCCAGTCTGTTTTGATAAAATTCTACCACTCTGTGGGCATTGCTCAGCATTTCTGGTTCTGAAGTCCAGATGGCTTGATTTGGCTTGAGCTGGGGAACTCCATCTACAAAGTGAATGGGTTGAACTAATTGAATTACCCGCACACACCTAGCCCTGTGACGGTGTATGCCTGGGACCCAGGGGTTGTTCACTGAACCCCAGACAACACCTGAGCTTCCAGTTACAAAATTCCCTCATCCTAGAAGTTTAATATTGGGTTGGCCAAAAAGTCTGTTACATTTTTTCTGTAGGATGGCTCTAGTAATGCTTAGTTGTCTTTAACTTCACTAGAAACAATTTTGTTAGATTGTATTGTGATGGTGTATCCACATGCATTAAAAAATCGAATAAAATTTGGTGAATTTTTGGGCAGCTATTTAATGTTAAAGATGGAAGAAGATACGCAACATTTTCAGTATATTATGCTTTGTTATTTCAAGAAAGGTAAAAACACAACTGAAATGCAGAAAAAGATTTGAGCAGTGTATGGAGAAGGTGCTATGACTGATCAAACATGTCCAAAGTGGTTTGCCAAGTTTCTTGGTCCTGTTGACATTTTGGCCAAAAAAAATTCTCTGCTGTGGGGCTGACTTATGCGTTGAAAGGTGTTTAACAGCACCCCAGCCTGTGCCCACTAGAAGCCAATGATGGAAGATAGCTGACAGAGTCAAAATATCCAAATCAGTAAAGTTATTGGTGACAATGAAAAATGTGTCTTTTATTTTATGGGGGGGGGGGGAAAC